ACCAACCTGTGGAGCAAGTTTTTGACACGGCTATTGACATGAATTCAAAAATTGGTACTGTAGCGGCGGGAAAATGGAAAGAAAAATTAAAGTCCACTGACCACTACATTAACCCGGCCCATTTTGGTAAATATGGACTAGGAAGCCGTCTCTCTCCCCTCTCTCTAAACCTTTTCTCTGCAATTTCCCCGCCGCTACCGTTAACTCTCCAATATTCACTATTTCTTCAGTGCAATTGTTAAAGATTGATGATTTTGGCCGAATTAAGGTTGAACAAAGACTAGTACAAACAATACCCCTGATTGTTAATTGTTGATAATTTCTTCACTCTCCAATATTCACTATTTCTTCAACCATAACAGGCTCCCCCCTCCGGCCCTCCGTTTCTTTCGGTTTTGTTTAGTCCGTGTCTTTGTGTGGCGAGCCGGAGTTTGTTTGAGTGGTGTTTTGGTTGGCGGTGGTGTTGGTGTCTCGTTTTTTTCTGGGCGGTTTGGGGCGTGTTTTTCCAGCTCTGTTTTGACTGCTGGTGGTGGTGGTTGAGGTTCTCTGCTCGGTAGCACTCTGGGGTTGGCCTGGTCGTGAGCGGCGGACGAAGTCGACTGGGAAAGATACCCATTTTTCCACCGTAAAAGAAATGCTATTTACCCACTATAAAGCTTGTTATTGTGCAGCCAAGTGATCGAGGAATATGGTTTTGCCTACTGGAGGTGACTCTAGGGTCGTTGGTCTTGCTGCTACTGCAGAGCCACAGTCGGCTACATATGAACTATGAAGTGAAGGTGGATAGTGCTTTCATTGAGGTGATTGTAGAAGATGAATCAATTATAGGGTCCATGACTAACAGAATTGGAGGGGATATTTCGAACTCCATGGAGAAGAAAGACCTGAAACATGGTATTATTGGTAAGGATGGTCAGCTGCATAATGTGTATTATAGTGGCATTGAGGACAGTTTGAAGAAGGGAAATGGACAAAAAGTCATGCTCGATCCTTTCTTCTATCCTGGTCAGGAAGAAAAAATTGCTACTGGAGATGCTACTTTTGACAATGAAGGGACTGAGGCTAGCTCCCTGAGAAATTCATCTGTAGTGCTTCAGAGGTAAAAGGGTGAAAGTTTTGA